TGATTTCGAAGAACGGTGTAGGCGTTGTTACTAAAAATAGAAAATTCTGTGAAATTCTTTCTAAATGCTACTCCTCCTACAGTTTTGGTATGATTTCAATATAACTTGGCACACAAGTACACTACACTAAGATACATAATTCTACGTATCGGTTTTTGATTTTGACGAACGGTGTTGGTGTTGTTACTAAAAATAGAAATGTCTATGAAACTCTTTCAAAATGCTACTCCTTCTACAGTTTTGGTATGATTTCAATATAACTTGGCACACAAGTACACTACACTAAGATACATAATTCTATGTATCGGTTTTTGATTTTGACGAACGGTGTTGGTGTTGTTACTAAAAATAGAAATTTCTGTGAAATTCTTTCTAAATGCTACTCCTCCTACAAATTTAGTCTGATTCCAATATAACTTGGCACACAAGTACACTACACTAAGATACATAATTCTATATATCGGTTTTTGATTTCGACGAACGATGTTGGCGCTGTTACTAAAAATAGAAAATTCTGTAAAATTCTTTAAAAATGCTACTCCTCCTATAGTTTTGATCTGATTTCAATATAACTTGGCATATGATTAGACTACACTAAGATACATAATTCTGTGTATCGCTTTTTGATTTCGACGAATGGTGTTGGCGTTGTTACTGAAAATAGAAATTTCTGTGAAATTCTTTTAAAATGCTACTCCTCCTACAGTTTTGGTATGATTTCAATATAACTTGGCACACAAGTAGACTACACTATGGTACATAATTCTTTATATCCGTTTTTAACTTCAATGAACATTATTACCTTGGTTAATAAAGAGAGCAATTTCTGTTACTCTCAAAATGCTACTTCAAATACAGTTTTAGTCTGATTATAATATAAAGTGGCATGCAAGTACATGTAGACTACACTAAGAACATAAAGAGACTTATTCAAGGATCATTATTCTCTTTTTTGCTAGTGTAAAGTTTCAATTCCCAACTGCTTAAGTACTTTCCTCTTCCTTTGCTATAAGTACAAACCAGTAGAGCTTCAGTCTCGACAGAGACTTCTGGTTTGATATGAAATTTCTTTTTCTTAGGGTCAGGATATTGAGTTGAAATTTTAACCTTTCTTTTAAAGCCGCTTAGTTCAATTCTAATCGCAAAAAAATTATTCTTCTTTCTTCTTGAAAAATAATTGTCTATAAATTGTTTCAACTTCTGTCAAATTAAATCCCCAAAGTCTTTTCCTTTTAAAAGATATATAAATTAAAAATTTAAAAGAATAATATTTCTTAGGTCACACAAAAATAATCCTGTGTTGATATCGCGTGAAATCACCTTCGAAGAAATTTGAATTTATCGCTTATATCTCATGAAGAACAAACCCGAGCATTTTTTTTTTACAACAAATTACTTATACCTGTACAGAGACAATATTATAGCCTTCGATTGTTACTAAGCTTCCTTTAAAAAAAAAGTCTATAAAAATATCTGATTTCCTTTATTACATTCCTTTTCATAATTATTTGTTACTTATTCATATTCTTGGTGTTTGATTACATTTTTTCTATTAAATATGAACTTTTTAAATTAAAAGTACAATTTTTTATGAATACTTTTGATGTGTAAGTAACCCAAACAGTCATTTAATAATTAAATCCTGTGTAAGTTGAAAATGGTAAAGAATATTAGCATCGGTAAATAGCCTATCTCTCATTAGTTAGAGGCGAAAGGTATAAATTTAAATAACTTTTTGTAATCATTTAGGTATCTTCTTCATCATATTAAAGATTGAAAACATTGTGACAAAGATGTCTAAAAATATTTACAAATGTAGGATGGAAAATTTAATAAAAAGAATAGAGTTAATTTGCTTATATTTTTATGAATGTAGACTTATCTTTTATGTCAATTGAATAAAAAAGAAATTATTCTTGAGAAATATTGCTTAATATTGTTCAGTTAATAAAATCTTGAAACAATGATGTTTGAAGATGTATTTATGTGATTTTTCATATTCTCTTCTTGACAAGTACCCCTAAAAATAACTGAAAATGCGTAGTCGCAGTATGAAATTACCAAATCAAGTTTCACAGGCTGTAGTAGATTTAAAAACAAGGAAACATATGAGCTTTTAACTGATTGATAAGCAAGTACTTATCATCACTTTGAAAAGTTTAAAAATCTTGTGACAAAGAGTTTTCCGAAATAGGTTCTACCTTAAATGTTTTTACAAAATAAGTAATTAGTTCCTTTAAACCAGGCTGTACCGAAGATGGAGTTTAGTTTATGGAAGTAACTGTAACATACCTTGTCCGAGGAATTGTCAAGAACAGAAATGCAACATTTTTAACGGAACATGCTTGGGGTGTTTGCCTGGATATGTGGGGGAAATGTGCGAAAACGGTTTGAAAAATGAGCTGTAAACCGATTACTTAAACATTGCATTAGAACATTGATAATTGTACTCTAGCGTCATAATTTTTCAAAACTTCTATAAATTCAGAATGCACATCAGGAATTTATGGCATACAATGCAGAAGGCAATGTGAAGGACATTGTATAAGAAACATATCATGCAATCACGTGACTGGTAATTGTGATAGAGGATGTGCCGCTGGCCATGGGTGGATGGGAAAACAGTGTGATCAACGTAAGTTTGAACAAACTGGCCTCTCACGTTTAAATTGAAAATATATTTAAAAATAGCCATTTCTGGAAAATATAATGATCGTTGTTACAGAGTAATACAAATTTTAATCAAAATAACTTCAAAACTACACCCTTTTTAAACCTAAAATTACATCAAATTCAATTGCTTATTTGATCAAATTTTAATTGGCATTTCTAAAATTAAAAATAACACGAATTAATCGTTGAAAATTCATATGTAACAAATAAACATTTCCATGTTTCTTTTTTTCTCTTGGAAATTAAATAAATATATATATATATGTCAAAGCCGGATTTTTGAAAGGTTTTTTAAGGTTGCGGATTTTTGAAATATCGTCATTTTTCATTAAAAAGTTTTAATTAAAACGTTTAAAAGACATTTTAAGCAAAAAGTCTATTAGTAAATGCTCACTAGTAACACCATCGCTCTGGTGTGTATATCCTCTTCATGTGATTGTACATAAATTAAGCATAGACAGAAGTGTGCATGATCAGGAACTTTACATCGTAATCACATAAACTAAATTTCACAATATGGCATACATTAAAAAGGATACGCTAAAATTTCAAGCAAATACCTTGCGTGGTTGCTTAGAAAACTGATGGGGAAAAACCAATGGCAAAAACCAGGACGTTAATAGATAGGCAGGTTAAAACAGTAATCCCCTACTTCGGAGCAAAAAAATCTGTAAAGAACTATTTTCATATTTTTTTACGATTAAAAAAAAGTTTGATATTGGCAGGGGATGCTCATTATCCCCATGGCACTTGATCTCACCACTGTTGTTTTGGAGGTCCGTATTTCCTCTACTCCTATTATGTAGTGTTTTATGTACTTTTGATCTTGAATACTCTTCGTTATCTCCACATGTTTTGTGAAAAAAGATTGAAATTTTTTTTTCAAGATAACATATTTTAGAATATAAAGACGGAACCTTTGGACCTGGGTGTATTCATTACTGTAGTGGAAACTGTGCGAATGGCACCTACTGCAAAAAAGAAAATGGATTTTGTGAACTGGGTTGTAATGCCTGATATATGGAGTTCTCTGTGATGAAGGTATTTTTCTCAGTAATTATTTGTTTAATACCCCGCTTGAAAAGCTTGTGAGCTGTGTCCGTTTTTCCCTCCACACGACCCTTTCCCTTTGGAGAAACCAATGTTTTTGACCCATCCGTTAGTCAGTAAGTCAGTAAGTGTGTCAGTCAGTCCGTCAGTCCTTTTTTGTCAGCGCAAATCCTCATAAACCGCTGCACAGAATTTGGTCAAATTTGCATCATTTTGTAAGTTCTATGGTCGATACAATGACCTTGGCAGCAAATACAATTTTTCATTGAGTCAAATGCTGACTTACGTTTTTCATACTAATTGTTAGTCCATTATTTATACACTGAATTGACGATCGATTTTTCCATTAATTCCCGATCATGACAAGGACCACACGGTGGATGTGACCGGTCAGCATGGCACCTGATCCTACCTCTAATGTTTCGGATGTTCGTGTTTGCTCTGCTCCTATTTTGTATTGTTATTGTTTTATGGACTTTGATATTAAATACTGTTCGTTATCTCCATATCCTTCTTTGCAGATATTTAGAACACAATGTGTAGATGTGCATATTACAAGGAAATTCGCATTCCTTTATTTTTTTTCCGGGAATTTTGGCAAATTTCAACAGATTTTTGGCCATACCTTGAGTATAGAGATGAACAGACTTTCAGCACAAATCCTCATAAACCGCTGCACAGAATTTGGTCAAACATTGTAGAGTTTTAGAACACAATGTGTAGATGTGCATATTACCAGGGAATTTCCATGCCTTTGTAGTTTCTAGGAATTTCGGAAAATTTCAACTTAGATTTTTGGCCATGCATGTACCTTGAATATAGAGATCAACAGTTTGTCAGCGCAACTCCTCATAAACCGCTGCATAGAACTTTGTGAAACTTTGTAGACATTTAAAACACAATATGTAGATGTTAATTCCGATTCCTTTATTTGATCTTCGGCACTTTGAGTTTTGGGGGAGCCTGGATTATGTGTGCTTGCTCACTTTTTCTTTCATTTGCAACGCTAATATCACTGATTTCACTTTAATGATACTTTCAAAGAATCTGTTCTACATCATGTAAATGTGCACCTCCAATTGCACTTTTTGATAAAACATATTTTGAGTCTCTCCTTGCAAAGCAACATATTTTGAGTCTCTCCTTGCAAAGCATGGATTTTGTATTTATAATCATTTGGTAGATAGAGTTATCATTTTGTGATCTCAGTGTTCACAGTACATCTACTTTTTATTCCAAATCAAAGGAGGTAAATACTTAAAAAAATATTTTAACAGTTTGTCCCAGTGCATACTTCAGACACAATTGTGCTAAACGTTGCAGTAACAACTGTGTTCATGGAAAATGCAACAATGTAGAGGGGACATGCGATGTAGGTTAGAGGGTTACATCGGGACAAGGTGTTTCAATGGTTAGAAGTTAAAATTTATATGTACACGGCTTTATACCTAATTTATTTAAATTCTTTTCGAACCCTTTGTATAAACTATAGAATAAAACTTGATCAAAGATAACTAGAGTATTCCTTAAACCTTTCTGTTTTCTTGTGCAGCATGTCAGGCTGGGTATTATGGGGAAAACTGCGCTAATCTTTGTCCAGCAACCTGGAACCGTACATGTCACCATGTACATGGATCTTGCTCTGAAGGTAATTGGAAGGACTCTTAAATTTATCTCTACAAAAGGAGTGCAAAGATATCAAAGTTTTAAAAACTTCTTAAAAAGAGACTTTTCGCAATAGTCCTTATTATTAAAAAATGTAACAAGATAATAATTTGCATATCAACATACGTGTACATGTCTCGTATATTAATTGTAAAAGCTTGCATGTTTATATGAATATCTTGCATGATAATTTGCATGTCAACATACTTATCTTGCATGTTAACATATATGTCGCATGTCTACATAAATATGTTGCATCTATGTACATGTTTGATGCCAGATTCTGGCGTTTGGAAGTAAATTTACTCATATTTAAATTATCATTAATGAGATAGGTAACTTGAATGTCAACATACTCAGTACTTATCTTGTATGTTGACATAAATATGTCGGATGTCTACATAATTATCTTGCATAAAGACATAACTAGAGATGACATACGCCACCATCCAATACATTTCAATTAAGCAGCAGAGAAAGAGATTATTTAAGGATTTTTTAAATATATTTTTTAGAAAACAAAGAAACCAATCCTGTTGCAGACATGACTTTCAATGCAACTTTGGCAGTAGTGATTATAATTGCAGTAGTCGTATCCATTATAGCTGTAGTTGGCATTATAGTAATCATAAGGTAATTGGTAGGATTTGGATGGAACTCTGACTCAATGAGTACTTTCCAAATATTAAACTTGTATCCTGACAAGCTCATATAAACACTAAAATCCAAATAATCTTACTGATTCCGAAACAAATATGAGAGGGAAGAATAAGTTATAATTTTACTTTATGAGACAAAATAAAGTTTTCTGATTTTATGATTCATCTGAAAATTGGTATAAGTAACAACTCTTTTTTTTTTAGAGAAAATACATACATGTAACCTACGAAAGCCCATTTAGGACCTATCAAAAATATTTTTGAATTCGTTATAACGATTTTTAGAATTTGTTATAACGAATTTAATTTGTTATAACAGATTTATTAAATTCGTTATAACGAATTTAATTTGTTATAACTGATTCATTGAATTCGTTATAACGAATTTAATCGGTTATAACAGATTCATTGAATTCGTTATAACGAATTTAATTTGTTAAAACAGATTCATTGAATTCGTTATAACGAATTTAATTTGTTAAAACAGATTCATTGAATTCGTTACCTCTGATGTTTCGGGGGACTGTGTTTGCTCTGCTCTTATTTTGTATTGTTTTATAGACTTTGAGATTGAATACTGTTCGTTATCTCCATATCCTTCTTATAACGAATTTAATTTGTTATTACAGATTTATTGAATTCGTTATAAGGAATTTAATCTGTTATTAAATATTTGTTGGATTCGTTATAACCAATTCAAGAATTTGGTTACATGTGTAACGAATTCAACAAATCTGTAATAACAGATTGAATTCATTATAACGAATTCAAAAAATCTGTAATAATAAATTAAATTTGTTATAACGTATTCAATCAATCTGTTATAACAAATTAAATTCGTTATAACAAATTCTAAAAATCTGTTATAACAAATTAAATTCGTTATAACGAATTCTAAAAATCGTTATAAGGAATTCAAAAATATTTTTTGATATGTCCTAACTGGGCTTCGTACATAACGAATGGAGAACCAATAATACATTTTGTTTGTAGAAGGAATAAACTAAACTTATTCCACAGGCCTAGGAAAGTTGAACAACCCCAGGCTCAGCAAAATGAAGAGAGAAATGTGAGACATGGCGATACTCACATGCAGGATGGAAATTCATTTTATGAGGAGTTGGACTGCTATGAAAATAATAAAAACGAATATCAAAAAATACAAGATTTTCCTACAAATACCTGCAACCCCCTTTAATTTCTTCTTTATTCCGAGACTGAGACTTCAAGCAATTTGTACGGAAGCCCATATAGGACCTATCAAAAAATATTTTTGAATTCGTTATAACGATTTTTAGAATTCGTTATTACGAATTTAATTTGTTATAACAGATTTATTGAATTCGTTATAACGAATTTGATTTGCTATAAAAGATTAATTGAATTCGTTATAACGAATTCAATTCGTTATAAAAGATTCAATGAATTCGCTATAACGAATTTAATTTGTTATTACAGATTTTTTAAATTCGTTATAACGAATTTAATCTGTTATAACAGATTTGTTGAATTCGTTATAACGAGTTTAATCTGTTATAACAGATTTGTTGAATTCGTTATAACCAAATTCTTGAATTTGTTATTAAGAATTAAACAAATCTGTTATAACAGATTAAATTCGTTATAACGAATTCAATAAATCTGTTATAACAAATTTAATTAGTTATAACGAACTCTAAAAATTTGTTATAACAAATTAAATTCGTTATAACGAATTAAATGAATCTGTAATAACAAATAAAATTCGTTATAACGAATTCAATGAATCTGTTATAACAAATTTAATTCGTTATAACAAATTCTAAAAATCGTTATAACGAATTCAAAATTATTTTTTGATAGGTCCTAAATGGGCTTCCGTAAATTTGGTATGTAAATGTATGAAAAAAAATTGCCTTTTTAATTGTATGCAAAAACTTCATCATTTTGCATAATAAAGTATCAGTCATGTACATGTATTTTAAATATTTTATGCATCAAAGAAAAAACAAACAAGACAAAGTAATATATATAGATAATGTTCATGATGTTATTAGTACAATGCTGTTTCTTGCATTTTTGACACACAGTGATTTTATATATAAATGTAATATACTTAGCGTGCCGCTTTTATGCAAAACACACGTTTATCTTAAGAAAACACAAATAAATTTGAATGAATATTTTACCTCAGGAAATATTTCACTTGTCCTTTTTCGCCGAAGTGAAATTAATTGGAATTTTTTGGACTTTCATCAGGTGCGGGGAGAATGGGGATGATAAAATTCGAGGAAAAATAATCTTGCAAGAATATTCCCTACAATATTCAAATATGTTAACATTTTTTGTTATTTTTTGGTATATCCCACAGGCACGGATATTACGTTTATAATTAATTAAATAAAGCAGATGCGCTTAAAAACAGTATGGTATATTTCTAATTTATTTAATAAATTTATACACAGAAAAGAGAGAGAGAGTGTGCGTGTAAAAGTCACACGATCGGCACCAACGTCGGAAGCAAGTAGATGGAAATTCTGAATCAGAAAAATTACATGCATGCTTCCCTAATTTTACACCTCCATGTGCTTTAATTTTTTTTAAAGAATAACAGGTATCACTACTGTATTAAACAGGTTGTGCACAGTTCCTTTTTCGGGGAAGTATTACTATAAAAGGGAACTATTACTCTTTTCAGTAATAAAAAAAACATTACTGCTTTTGGGAATTTTCACTCGCTTAACCTCTATTCTCGTGTTTGTTTTAAATAAAAGATAAAGTGCAAGAATATTTTCAGATCCTCTAAATATTTATTGTCTATCAAATGTATGTGTGCTCAAAACTGCAATATTTATTGCTGCAAAAAGCTGAAAAAGAGTGATGAAATATTTCTATGATATAGATAACTTACGGGAGCATACCTGTGTTAAAATTGTGAGATTGAATACGTTCAGCACTTACTAACTCGTTCATAGGATTATTCGTTCTAATTTAGTTTTATACTATTTCTGTAAATGACATCGTAAAAATAATTTTTAATACCATTGGTTCTTTTACAGATGAAAATAATTATTTGAAATATTAAATTTCACACGATATTCTTTTAAAATGGTTTTAGAATGAATGACCTTGTTAGATACTATACATACAATTAAAAAGGCAATTTTTTTTTCCATACATTTATATACCAAATTGCTTGAAGTCTCAGTCTCAGAATAAAGAAGAAATTAAAGGGGGTTGCAGGTATTTGTAGGTAAATCCTTTTTTGATATGCGTTTTTATTATTTTCATAGCAGTCCAACTCCTCATAAAATGAATTTCCATCCTGCATGTGAGTATCGCTATGTCTCACATTTCTCTCTTCATTTTGCTGAGCCTGGGGTTGTTCAACTTTCCTAGGCCTGTTGAATAAGTTTAGTTTATACTTCTAGTACCATTCATCAACAGAGAAAATTATTAAATCTCATCTTACTCTTGTCTGCAGCACTGAAGGACCGAATTTTTCGGTCAGCGAGGTTCATGTAATAAAGATCCCCCACACCTGAAACACAGACACGAAACTGTGCATGCAGTGTTATCTTATCAAATGTTATCTATTTTTTTATCCCATATTATTCTTCTTCATTGGATTGATAGATAATGCACTAGTTTATGACCCACTAGATAATGCACTTCTTTTTGCAGGACCAGACGGAACTCAAACAAATGGACCTAATGCAGTCATAAGCATGCTCGACTATGCCCTTACAGAACATAGCTTTGGTGAACAAAAATGCACATTTCATGCAGACAACTGTTCTTGTTGGTTCCATAACAAAGCTCTTTCTTTTATAGATGTACCGAGTATTTATATATATTTATATCTAATATATTAACACATTCATTTTAGGGCAAAATAAAAACCAGTTCGTCATAGCGTACCTCTGTTGGCGTGTTATAACTGGACGTCATTGTGAGGTAGAATACTGCATGCAAATACCTGGACACACGCGGTAATTAAGTTACTAAATAATGCACTGATGAGTAAAAGTGCTTTTTATTCTTTACTTTCTTAAAGTTCAACTGTTTATTGATACAGTACTTTTATGTACTACAGGTGCTTGGTAGACAGTGGATTTGCGCACATTCGAAAGCTCTATCGACGCTCTGGCATTGATTCTCTTGCACAGTTCTTCACACTTGTAAACAAATCGGCCTCTTCAAATGAAGCAGTATCCTATGATGACACTTGGCAATGGCGAAACTGGAAAGACTTTCTTTCTACTTACTTTCGCCCTGTGAAGAGGGTACGTAAGTACCATCATTTTCAATTCACTTCTGCAGAACCATGGTTTGTTTACGTCAAGGAGCGAACCGACTCGGTAGAACAGAAGTTCTCCTTGAAAAAAAATTGGTGCGCCTAACTTCGATGCCACCGAGATTCCAGCAATTCTGCATCCTGCTGGGATGACAAGTGAGAGGCAGACCTACCTTTACAGGAATGTGAGGCCTTATATGCGCCCTGCCCACCAGGAGGACCTGTTTCCTACACCAACGGAAGAATAAATTAAATGTATGAATCAATTGTACATATTGTCTTTCACTAATTAGCAATTTTCAATTGCTAATTAGTATATGACTAAATAATTAGTCATGTACTCATTGGCAATTGAAAATTGCTAATTAGTGAAAGACAATATGCTGATAATGTACCATTTTTCAATTGTAAAATATGTTATTTTAAATGTTTAGTTTATGTACTAAATGACATTAGCTTTCTACGTTAAACTCGGTTATACCGAAGCTACTGGGACGTATGGAATTACTTCGTTATATCCGTAATTCATCATAGACATATCAGATATTCGTTAAATATATGTAGCTGGGGATCCAAAATAAATTTGCTACATCCGTTGATTTACTATATCCGTGATTGTACTAAATGAATTTTGCTGTAATTATAGTAGAGACATCGTGTTTAATGTTAACTTTGGTTGATACATTAAATACAACACAAAACCTTGTGTTTTGAATAATTCTGGATCAGGTTATTTCCAAAGAGTGGTGGACTTCTCTTATTTCCGAAAGGCAATTACCATATTAGAGATATACATGTATTATCCTGTACCTTTTACAGACTCATTAAAACTATTTAAACATGTATTGAGTGATTTCATTCTGAGAAATGACAATTATATGTACATGCATTACAATACAAAAAGAGTCACTTTCACAGTTAATTTTTTGACGTTTGTGCAAAAATAACGTAACGTCAAAATTCACTTATTTATACAACATTGATATAAATGAAGAAAAAAACTACTTAGAATTGATGTAGGACCATAAAAATTCAGATTTGGCAACTTCAAACCTTGCTCTATCAAAATCCATGGAAATCTCAAAATGTATAAAAATTGCCATAAGGACCCTTTTCACATGGGCGCAATCATTTCTGTTTATATCTATCAGCAATTCTCTTGATGTTATCTTCTATCTTCTTATATGAATATTTTATCCTTCACTTAAGTTTCTGTTAATAGTTACTTCTTATCTTTTGTGGTTAATTGCCAAGCCGAGATATGCATCAACTACATCTACTACTCTGGGGTTCAATGCAAAGATAAGAAATGAAGAGAAAATCCTGTCGTCTTATGTTTTTGTTGCATTGTAAGTGTGGACTAATGGAAAGACGTGTTTTCCAGTCATGCTTTTGTTCACAATATCTTTTTCCCAAACATTTGAAGTAGCGTTTGACTGAATCGTTAGACATGTGTATTCCCATAGGGTGGTTCGGGGTTGTTACTCTTCTTTATTTCAACATTCTTATAAAATTCCTTGATAATATAATTTTCCAATATCCTGCTCTGGTCCGAATGTATACACTGCTTGTAGGGTGCCTTAGCAGTTGCAGATGCTTATTTTAGGTCCTGGTCGGAACAGCCACTGCATACATCGTAAAGTTGCAGTAATGACTAGTATATTTTCACAACTATATTTTTCAATAGTGAGTAAGTCCATACAAACTAGTTTCAAAGGTCTTTGAAGTAAAACATGGAAAACACTTTGGTCCTTGGTACTTCTCACGTCTTCATTCTAACATCTGTCACAGTTTTATACCTTTTTCGCTACATATGAATACACAAGTACGCAATTACAATCTCTGCAAAATCTACAAGTTATTCTGGTCTCGTCCTTGGTTACCCATATCCTCATGAAGTCCAGTGAGTACACTGTCTTTAAACTTACTTGGTTAAACTAATTGACCTCGTCCCTCTCAAGCACCTATAGTTTTTCTGAACAAGATTTCTCTTTCAATCACCAATTGCTTCCTTTTTCTTTAAGAATAACTTGACGTGTTTGGTTCCCTTTGTACATTTAGATCTTTTCCAGTTAGTTCGATTCCTTTACTAAGCAGATAATTGACTTAACTTATAATTGAATCATTACCTTGTCTATTCCCAAATAATCAAAAACGAAATATCAAAAACCTGACTAATATATTTTGATTGTAAACTATATCATAAATTGGAAATTTAGATTGAATTTCAGAGCAGACAATAAAAGCTGCGACGCTCAGAAAATGCAATCACCGCACAAAAAAAACACAATAAAATGAAAACAATCAATATAAAAATAGTTTTAAAAATGGAAAGAAAATAAGAATTTAGACAACATGAAGAATCAAAATGAACAAGGGAATCGCTAGGGCAAAAGAATACATGCATAAAGGTGCATGTTTAGTCAAACTCAGAGTGAAATTACAGACAATGGCGACCTCAATTCATTCAAGAAAACAAAATGCAAAAATGCCGAGCTGTGAAAAAAAAATGAAATCAAATTTACTAATACTCCCGACAAAAAGAGGAACTACCATTGCTGCTTTTCTACAAAATACAAACTCTCCATCAGTTAAATTACTCGAAAATTCCAAAATCATAATACCTCCAGAGGAAAAAAGAATTTAATCAGCCACACTCCAAGCGTCCCTTCTTTCTGACATCTAACAATCCATCTAAACGGAAACTTAAACATTGTGACAAAGTAGGGGAGGTCATGGTATTTCTAGCAGTTTTTGTTAGCGGCGAAAATGTTATAATGTTAATAGCAAAATCTACACTACAAAATTCATTCCCGATCTGTAGAAAATCTAATGAGTATAGATTTTGCACAAAAATCTTGCATACATGTACGGAATCATCATCGCTCATGTACATACACATATACCACATGTAATAATAAGCGGAAAACAAGATCTGATGCTCTGATGATAATCAAAAATTTGTGTACCATTTCTGGTGTTTTTCTAAAATTTCGAACCCAACCTGCAATACGAATGTTTAAATACGTCCGAAAAAGTATTTTTCTCACCAAGTTTAAGTCCTAGGTAAAAACACGCAGGTTACTGTACACTTTCTTAAAAAAAAACACAGATATCTGTATTTCCCAGACTTTTCGAGGCATGTTAACCTTATTATATTCGTGCAGTACATGTGCATGAAAAAGCTTCTTTCAAAATTTCCATTAAAATAGAAAAAGGTGCTACATGTAAATGACAAACTGAGCGATAAAGGAATTTACTGCACAAAATCATTGCGTTACAAATAAGACTTTTTCGAAAATTATCATTGTTCAATTGTACTGAAATGAACAAATAATGCAGTCAAATTATTTCAAAGAAACACTGAAATTTCCATTCAGGTTACCTTACTTCACAGACATGAAGGATATGGAGATAACGAACGAAAGGGAAAAGTGGAAAGAACTAATTTGCAAAGGTTGGAAACAAAATAAATAGTAAAATACGTCAAATGAAGAAAGACATAACCAAAAATAAATGAAGAGAACAGAATATATAAATAAAGAAATGATGGACATACGGGTGGATCTGTGAAGATACAGTTGGCGAAAAAGGATATAAAAAGCACTAAAAAACCAACAACACTGTATATCCTAAATGTCGGATCTACCAAGTAGATACAAGGTCATGGATGGAAATTTATATAAAGCGTTCCGAACCTCTAAAACATCAACGGTGCAATCAGGTGCCATTGAAGAGTAAGCGTCCCCTTCTTACCGTTCACACCTGCAGTGTGCGCTTTGTCACAATCGGGAAAAACGGAAAAAATCCGGCGTCAATTCAGTGTATAAATAATGGACTAACAATTAGTTGAAAAACGATAAGTTGTATTTGTTGACAAGGTCATTGTGTCGACCAAATATCTTACGAAATAATGGCTCTAAACCAGACTGCTGATATTCTTGTTTCATCAATTTGTTTGTCAATAGTTAACCTCGTTTAAGAAATTGTTCATACGTAGAGCATGCTCTCGCGTATCGAATCAACTGAGATATATAAACGCTATATGCAGGTAATTAAGGTATATTACTTGATAAGTAAGGGAAGTTGACGACAGAAAAGTTGAAGTCGTCACGTTTATCATATAGAGCTTGATTGGTAGATTACCACTGAAATCTTTTTCAAGTAAAATAAACAAGTATGAAACATATGTGTCAGACTCTGTGGTATATTTTATCTGCAGCTCACCAGGATACATCGCATCGACATATGAGTAGAAATTACCATTCCTAATTGACAATATACCCGGTATCGTCGATATATCTAAATGTTGAGTTACACGCGTAAGATTTTGCACAAATTCTGCTTCATGAATACAAAAATAATTGTTAATAATGGAACTTAATTGGTACACATAGGAATTTCAATGGGTTGTTGGAAGACCTAGTCTGCAAAAACAACATAGATATTGTCAGTCAGAAACTCATGCATCCTTTTGATGTCAACTTCAGAGCACTTGTATGTGCAATCAGAATAAGTTTAAACAAAATTATTTTTCAAATTAACCAATGACCAAGTAAGTTCATTTAGGAGTTCCGTTTTTATTGCAAATGCAGTTGCCAATGATATAAAAAGCCTGGACTTTCATTTATCATGGGGAATGGTTGAAAAGTTAAAAAGTCGTAAGTTTTTTTTAACTGTTGATTTTGGTAAAATCTTGTGATTTCAAAGTGTCCAAAAGTTCTTTGGGATTTTTGAGTATCCACATCTGATTCACACCACTTTTTGAATATATTGTTGCACAGTACTCTTGAAGTCTTTCCTTCACTACTGTCCATATATACTGTATCTTAGTGAGAAGACATGCTATTCTTGAATTTGACGGTGTGGAAAGTACTATGTAAAAAAACAGAAATAATTACAGATAATTTCTTTTTTGTTATATCCACTGATAATAAACATAATCAACATTTCACCCATCAATCCAAAATTTTGTTATCTTAAATTAATTCAATTTTTCTTTGAAACAAACCATACAAAGGGACTACAAGATGCAGCGGAATTAAAAAAAATCAGGCTAATCTTGCCTCCATCAGGGGTACATATGTAATTGCGTTACACAAAATGCCAAAAGTCAATATACCTTTGCAAACAAAAAAATAAAAATTCCTTAAAATTCGTCAAATGTTCGATGTAGAATTTTCAAATGTTTTTTTTTTCATTTCATTTTATTCCGGTAAAATTATTACAGAATGTCATGATTCACATTTAAAACAGTACAAGTTAGCCTACTTATAGAAAAAAAAAAACCACACACATTATTTCAGCACTATGCTACTAAATGAAGATCTTATTGAACATATACAAATAATTATTATTAAATAAGTTGCAGAACATACAGATGATAGATAGTACCTGTAATCTGTGTTTAATTGCTTGTTTATTCCACAATACCAAGAAGAACAGATATAGTCAAAATAACATTGTATCAAGGCAGAACATGGGGTCTTTCTACACTGCATACTAAGATAAGATGCATTTCTATATAAAAACTAAGTCTAGCATTAACTTCTTGTATGATGCTTAATAATAATTTTTTACATAAAAGAAACTTGTCAAGACAAATTCCTAAATATTCAACACTCTCAGAACCTTTAATGACATGACCATTACCTAAAATTTTGAAATCTGTTCCGTTTTTAAGCTTTCTTGGATGACCAAATACAATAGATTCTGTTTTACCTAAATGAAATGACAATCTGTTGTCAAATAACCATGAAGAACATTTGTCCGTTGAAAAAAAATTCGTAGAGGAAAACCTAGATTATAGAAACCTATGACTGGAATAAAGTTTGTACACCGACTGGTTTCGTTTACATCCGGAGAAAATACATTTGCCCACCGTCTTCGTTACAGTTTAGGCAAAGATTGCATTGACAGTAATTTTGATCATGATTGTAATCTTATTTACAGTCTAGGTATAATGTTTTCCAAGTATAGTGGAAGAATTTACAAGATTTTGTCATAAAGTAAAAATTTTGTGCAACATTTTCTATGGAATTATAAAAGAAGCAAAACAAAGTCTCATATCTAAGCACCAAGGAAATCTTACGGTTTATTTATATTTCAGGGATTTATTATTTATGTCATTTCAAATCAAAATCAGCCAAAAGATACTTATCAATCCATACATCATTTTTTTTTGTGTGTGAACCCTTAATTTTTTTCACATATCCACTGGTCTCTTTGACCCAAAACATACAAAGCATTTTTGGGGGAGTGTAATCAATAAATGACCACGTCTTTTTATTCATATTTTGAACGCATAAAAATCATTACAAGACACAGATCAAAACTCACCAAAAATTTGGATAAGTTTAATTTTTAACAAAAGAATTTTTTATGTGAAAGTTCATTTTCTCCAAGGGTCCTAATGCTAACTAATTTCAAAGTATTTGTACTTAAAGTAAAATTATTGGGAATCATTTCCCATTGAATGATTGCACCTCCAACCCACCATATACATTGTATCTTAATATAAAACGACTTTTAATATTTCCCATTCAGTAGCAATCACATATGAAGACCGAGATGATCTTAATTTGTCTACTTTATGTTCTTTCCACTGGAATATACGTTTCGATTGGATACGGTAGGTACACTTATTCTTAAGTAAAATTTCCTTTTCCAAAATTATTTTACAGTTGAAAATTTTTGTATTTGCACTAACCTACATGTACATGTATGTATATGAACATATATGAATTTGTCTATTTTATGTTCTTTCCATTGGAATATATGTTTAGAGGGAAAATGCAATTTGTAAACTACAATTTCTAACCTCCGTGTTTTCCTTTTCGAGTTTCGGTATGTGCAAGCAGTCAAAATGTTTAAAAATAATCCTTTAATCCTGAGTTTATTTAACACTTTTCCTACATAGCTGGCAACTATTGTTTACAACGTTGTGTGAATTGTTGATTGTGACGTCACAATGCCCCTACACGTGCACTGACCCTCCGGTGAATCTGGCCTTAAATCCGGTGAACTTGTAGTATTATGAACTTTTTGCGCTTGTATACATTGCAGAGATTTTATAGGGACTATAAATATACTATATAATAAGATTTATAGTGGTGGCGTCTCCACACGAGTGAAAAAATTCTCGAGAGGGATGTTAAACAATATACCAACAAAGTGTAGTAAAGAAATTATGCTAATGAATTTCTAGGTAAGTTATCAAATAATATTTTTCATGAAGAATTGTAATTTAAACTATTGTGTTGGACCCAATGTTGTTGAGCCAAACGTGTTTAGAAACTTAACACTTCAAGTTTGATGCGTTTATAAATGAGACGTGTTTAGGTCTAAACGCGTAAAAAAGTAAAACAAATTATGTTTTTAGATTAAAGTGTTTAGGGGGTAAGCATGTTTTGCAGCTTAATATGCCGGGTTTGAAGTCTAAACGTGTATAAAAATGAAATTTGTTTAGAGCTAAACGCGTAAAAAAGTGAAACAAATCTGGCGTTAGCTTTGTGTTGTGCCTCTAAACATTGTTTTTGCAGAGAAGGTATAGGCGATGTTGTTTATACGAGGGCTTTTCAATAAATAATTTTATGAGCTCGATGACATACATGTACAACATAGAAATCATATGACATTCTAATGAAACTTTAATCCATTGCGTTAAACCCTCAAAACAAATTTACAATAAGATGCACTTGACAGAACAGCAAATGTCTGAAAGAAGCAAAGAATTGCAAGAGCACAAAAGCAATTTTATTTGCTATTTTCTTAAATATAAGAGATCTTATTCTGTGTGCAGTTAGAATTCTGGAGGAGTCTAGAAAGCAATTTTTTTTGCAAAAAATCAAAAAGGTTTATGAGAAGAAGAAACCAGAATCAGAATCAGGAATCCACAACATTACATTTCTGAAGACAGCGTCCAAACCCAAGCCATGAAGATTCAAGAAGTTTTGGGTATTAACCGAAAGTTAATGTTTTGTCACACCAACGATATTCGTCAGATCTTTTAACATTTGATTTGTTTATTTTCCTAAACTTAAAATAAAACACCTTTCAGAAAATAAAAGAAGTACAGAATATTATAAGATCTGCCACATTCAAGAATACGAAGGACCATGCTTAAAAATGTGTTGTGAAAACTTTGAAATTGGATAAAAAGTTATATGTTTTGTTAACAGAGAATATTCAAATAAAATCATTAAAACAAAATCATTGAAAAACGTTTACTGTGTCTTTCCGAGCACCAATGTCATCATTCATTGAGCATCACTTGTATTATATTATGGCGATGTAATATTTAAACACTTGTTTAGGTACACATCATCATACAGGTAAAATTCAAAATAATTCTTTACTTCTAAAGGCGCAATTTCAATTAATATCCGAAACAACACAAAAGACATTATAGAAGAAAAGTAACTTGTCTTAAATTAGATATTTAATATTTAAATATAAACAAGACAAGAAAAATCTAGAGAAATGAAAGATATGTATAACTAATAGAAAGCTTATCGGGTTTCAAATTTGGATGTAACGTCACTTAACGTCAAGTGATTGCTCCTTGAATCTTATGAATGCATAGTAAAAAATTGTTGATAATATTGATATAATTATTTCAATAGTGGTCGTTATTTCAATAGTGGTTGCAACAGGGTGTGTTTCATTTTTTCCAAATGATTGCAGAATGATGTTGGGCTCAGTTTCGGTATGTTAGTCCAAATATATATACATGTAACTCTCTGTGAGTTATAGATTCAGTTGGCATTATCTTTCCTCTATGTCTTTTTATCGGAGCTACAGTATTTTCAATTTTTTATGGAATCAGTAAGTAATATGCAGTAAGAATGCAATAATTTCAGTCAGCTTGATTAATTTATTCTTCTTAGATGAATTATCAAGAGATAAAATCGCCACACAGTCTAAAGTCTTTGGATGTATTCCTCCTTGTGGTCCAGAAAAAGCGATTGATGGCGATATTGAAACATGCATGAAGAATGACGCTATAGGTCAGAACTCTCCTGATAAAACCGTATGGTGGACTATAGATCTTGGATCGAATTTGAACATTTACAGCATCATTGTGTATTTCAGAGATTATGGAGATTACGGTATGTTTATTTTACGAAAAGTACAAGAAAGCTATATTTATTTTTAATTGAACGCTTATCGATGAAAGCGGGGAGGATTATCAACTTGTCTTTCTTTTTAGTCGTCTGTCCTCCACTGCATGTTTATCTGTCTGTTTGCCCATTTGTTTTGCATTTACGTTTGAACGATTTAATGAAATTAATGCCCAAATTTCATATTGTCTGAAAAAAATGATTATTGCATTCCTATTGCATTTTTTATGCAATCAGTGTTGATAATTGATTTTTCTTATGTGGCACAGGGTTTCGTATTCAAAAAATATACTAAATTACTTTCGGTTCTCAGTTTTAAAAATTGATATAATGAGAAGCCTTAAATACCATTTGAGCATATTTCAGAAAGGGTGTTTAACTTTAAACCCAACACATGGCTGTTCGCTAGGGTCAAAGTTTAACCCCTTAGGAATTTGGAAACACAGAAAACCCGTCGAATTTGGGCTTTAGACACAGTTTTTTCTGTGTTGTAAAATTAATTTTTACCGCAACTGGGGTAGGCTATCTTTTAAATTAGATTAGGATTTAAGATGTCTTGATTGTAATTTTGCTTCCGGTCCTGAAGGAAATAAAGGCTTTTGTCAGGTTTGGTTATCTACTGCATGCAGTTGTATTGTATTGTTGAGCAAATATTGACCTAAGCACCAAAGGTTGGATCATGTGCCATGGAGGAGTGAGCATCCCTTGCCGACCGGTCACAACCACTGTGTGATTTTTGCCATCAATGAAAAATGTCAGCAAAATCCGTTATTATTTCAGTGTGAAAAACATGGACTAAGAATTGATATAAAAAAAAACGTCAGTCAGCATTTGATTCAATGATAAATTGTATTTGTTGCTATGTCGCATCCCTACAATGTCAAGGTTGAGACATAGCATAGCTCTTTTTGCTTAATACTTTCCAAAAGAGCTCATGAATCCCTGAAAGGTCAATCTTTATTAAAATTTCCCCCGAACGAAACCTAGCGCCTATTCTTGTACCAATAAATTTTAGGTTAATGTTTAAACAATTAAGAGAATGATATGTTATGCAAGATTGTGACATGTTTTCTAACAACTATCACTGACTTATAAATACAGATTGAGAATTTGTCATTTAGTTAGTGCATCGCTGCTAACTATGTTTTGGTAAAATGTCCAGGAAATTAGAAGTGTTTTGCTTAATTAAGTAATCATTCATTACAATCTAATCATGGTAACCAATTTGACTTGTTTAATAATTGAATTAGTGCTCCAAAGTATGTATGTGTCGCCTGAGTTTAGCTTCTTTAAAGATGTAAATAAATCTAAGGGTGGTCAGCTATTTATATGCCTCTAGCATATACAGTATTTCAAAGTTCATAAAAACACACACTTCAAATAAAAAATCCACACATAGCATAAGACTGTGATAGAGTCTGTCAATCAAAACAAACGTGATTCCCAATAACTAAATATCACTTTACACGATCCATTTTAGAATATACAGTTTTGAAGAACAGTATTATGAGCACATAGACAAGTATAAATATTAATTATCAACACTCACAACTCAAAATTCAAAAGTCGTAAGTTTAACCAAATTGTCCGGGTTATTTTTGTAAACTAGGACAAAGGTCAAAGTAAAGTTGATGTAATGTTGGTATTTTTATTAATTTTATGATAACCAATGCACATGAAAAATAGCATAAAATTACCCTTAAATATCAAAAATCTGCGATATAATGGCACTTTTAAATGTTTAGTTAAGTAGGTCAAAAGACAAGGTAAAGGGTCAATAGGTCGGTAAACATGGCAAATTACAAATGCCATAGTGCGAAGCAATAAATGCGCAACATATTAAATACATATAACTAACAGTTCTTGAGATACAAGGTATGCCAGAAAGACAGACGGCCAGACCTAAGGACAGACAGACAGCCGCCGCGTAAAGTAATTCCTCGGTGCCGCCCTTGTTACTGAATATTACACAGTTTTAAAGAACGGTATAATGAGCTCAAAAACATGTATACATGTTATTTATCAACACTCACCACTCAAAATTCAAAAGTCCTAAGTCTAATTAAATTGTCTAGGGTATTCTTTGTAAACAAGGTCAAGGATCAAGGTCAAATGAATTGTAACGTTGGTATTTTTTATATTTTTAATGACAATCAGTGCACATTCAAAAAGCATAAAATTGGCTTTGAAATGTAAAAAAATAACGTGCTATATTTTGGCACTTTTAACTTTTAGTAAAAAAGGTCGAACGAAAAGGTCAAGGGTCACGATTTCGGTAACCATGGTAATTTACAAATCAATAGTGCCAAACAATAAATGTGCAAAATATCAAGTTCATATATCGTATGGTTCTTGAGATACAACGAGTGACAGACGGACAGATGGACGGACAGAAAGACAGACAAACTCACGCCGCGTAAAGTGATCCCTTACTGCCGCTCTGCTCTGCAGGCGACACAAAAATGACCCGTAGTCATTGAAATGTCCTAAATGTGATATTGTTCAGCAGTGGTAAACAACAGACATGTACATATATCTTAAATTTTTGTGCTTAATCTCTTTGATGTGTCATGTCAATATTTGTTATCAGCTGATTATTAGATTTTCTGAGCAAATGTTAACGTAAACTTGTCATCAAATAAATAAATTATTGGTCTTTTCATCGAACTGGTCGAGGTTTACAATAACCATGTTAAAGTTTAATTAAAAAAAATCAAAGTATATAAGATAGTCAAGGGTAAAAGTCTCCCCTATTCACGTATTGTGAGTGTTTACTCAAAATGGCAATTCTATCGATAATTGCTAATATCACACTTGTTTTTAAGGTAAAAAAACAATCCGTTCTATAGAAGACGTGTACTTTATGGAATGATTCATTAGTTAAAGCCCTTTTCGTGTAAATCGATAAACTCCACATTTAAGGTTCAGATTTTTATTTAATAATTTCGTTCTTTTTATTGAATAAATTCGTTTTTCTAATTTAATAATTTAGTCTTCTTAATTTAAGAATTTAATTAAAAAATAGTAAAGGTCACTGTTTATTGATGCTCTGAATTTTGATGCTTCTTAAGAAATGAGGCAGAGAGGTCGTTTTGCTGGATTTTCCCTTTATATATCCGATACTCCGAACAAAGAAGATGGAACTCTCTGTTACAAGGACGAACTTCCATTACCTCCCTTGGAGTTTAATACAACGTGTATAGGATATGGTCGTTATGTTATCTATTACAATGAAAGACTGGACGGAGTTACATATCCTAATGGATACGTAACAAATCCCATCACTGAGTTATGTGAAGTGAAAGTTACAGGTATTTTTAAGATTTACTTTAATTACTTGTTTAATTACATTAGTAATAATAATAAAAAAAATTTAAAAATACATGTGTTTGTGCATCATACTGGTATAACATACCTATATCCAAATCACAAATCATGTCCACTCTTTGGTCCTTGAAAGCTTAAAGTTAAAAGCCCGGAATATATATATAATATATTTAATTTTAAAATGAAAAAAAAAAAAAACAAGACGTGTTTGTGAAAAACCGATGCTCCGTCAACAACATAGTGAAGATTTTAAATATATCAGCACTCAAAAGAGGGTCTTCTCACATGTAAATACGATTGTGAAATATAAAAGCCCTAGCACCACCTGTTAAAAAGTTATGGCCAAGGACAAGTTTTTGAAAGGTAGGTCAAAATGCAGGGTCAAGGTCAAAGGGTCATAGTTCTTGGTTTCTCTGGAAAGGTCTTTTCACATGTATTACATATATGAAGTATGAAAGCCCTAGCCCTAACCGTTTAAAAGTTATGGCTAAGATGAAAGTTTTTGCAAAGCAGGTCAAACTCCAAGGTGAAGGTCAAAGGGTCAAAGGTATTGATATCTAATGAAAGGTCTTCTCTCAAGAATTAAATTTGTGAAGTATGAAAGCCGGACCCCTAGCCCTTTAGAAGTTATAGTCAAAGTTTGTTTTTTAAAAGTAGGTCAAACTCCAAGGTCAAGATAAAGGGCCTTGGTATCCAATGAAAGGTCTTCTCACGAAAAATTATATATGCGAAGAATAAAAGTCCTAGCCCTTACCGTTCAAAAGTTATGGCCAAGGTTAAACTTTTTTCATACGTACGAAAATCTCCAAAGTTAAGGTCAAAAGGTCAAAGTTGTTGGTATCCAATGAAAGATCTTGTCATAAAGAATACATATGTGACATATGAAAGTCCTAGTATCTACCGTTGAAAAGTTATGAACAAAAAGTTTAGAATTTTTGTGGAAAAGTGTGTCAAACCACAAGGTCAAAGTCATAAGGTTAAGGTCTCAGTGGTAACCCAAAGAAAGGTCTTGTGACAACGCATACACGTGTGAAATATCAAATTCATACCTCCACGAAATCAAAAGTTATGGGCAAGATTAATGCTTTTGCGGACAAACAGCAGACAGAGAGACACCCAGACGGACGGACACGACATAACTTTATTCAACCGTAACTTCAATTACAGAGGCATACAAAACTAGAAAAGATTACAAAATCAGAACTGTGGAGGTTGTAGATGCATGAAAGATTTTAGATGACAATTACAATATACCCTCTTTTAAATAGCATAGTGAACAAAAGTAACCATTTTTCTTTTCACTTGTTTATATGTTTGTTAGTTTTTATGATAAAAAGAACATTTGAAATTAAGGAAACATTTTGTTATAAACAGGATGTTCAAAAGCTGAAGTCTATGGAAGTAACTGTAGTATACCCTGTCCAACCCACTGTCAAGACCAGCGATGTAATATTGTAAATGGAACGTGTTTAGGGTGCAAGCCTGGATATGAAGGAGAGATGTGCAAAACCGGTTATTAAAATAATTTGCTATATTAATCTAAACACAATCACATTAAAAAATATTAAAATGATCACAATGCATGTTTTCTTTGCAAAACAGAATGTCCAGGGGGATTGTACGGTAAATTGTGTAAAAGACAATGTGCAGGACATTGTAGGGGAAATAGGACGTGTGATCACGTGACCGGTAATTGTAAGGAAGGATGCGCAGCGGGATGGATAGGAAAGCAGTGTGATCAAAGTAAATTTTCATGAAAAAATAAGTAAATGAACATAATATTTATTTCTACACAGTCTTCTAATTGGTGAATATTTTGGCGTATTTTGGTTTTTAATCATGTGATTAATAAATTTCTAAAAATATTATAAATCTGTAAGCTTTCTAATATAATGTTCAAAATTCATGGAACCTATGTGCAATTATCCTTATTTATCTATTCACTTTGGGGGACTTAAAATCCCATTATGTTGAAATTTTGAATGTTAAAATAAAACTACTGTTAATATTATTCATTTTACTTGTAAAAGTATTATTAATGTTGCAAAGTTTGGGATTTGTAAAAAAGTTAGTATCATTTGTACTTAATTGTTGCTGTAATTATGGGTGGGCATTGCAAGGTTTTTTATCTGTTTGATATAAAGTTAAAAATTGAAACTATTTTTTATTATGAAATTCTGCATATAGAATGCAAGGAGGGGACTTACGGTGATGGATGTGCTCATAACTGCAGTGTCTACTGCCTTGAGGGTAACACCTTCTGCAACAACGAGAATGGTCACTGTGAAAAGGGTTGTAATCCAGGATATGAAGGAAATCGTTGTACCAAATGTGAGTTGCTCCTTTCCTTTCTTTGCCCCTCAATATTAAATACATCTTTTTAATCATTTATGTCCTTCTATAGTTTGTCAAAGTGGATCATTTGGACAAAATTGCAGTAAACATTGTAGTGAACACTGTAACGGTATATGTGACAACATAAATGGAACCTGTTCAGAAGGATGTTCCAAAGGTTACACTGGCATAAGATGTTTTGATAGTAAGAACCTTGAATAAAATTGAATGTTTTTTGACGTTCAGTTTTCTAGCTTTTCTTTACAAAGACCTTCACAAATCATTACATGTTAATAGATTTTTTGCATTATGTACATGCATGTTTTTATTTCATATATGTATTTATAAGCATGTAAGGAAGGCTATTTTGGGAAAAACTGCTCTGAAGTCTGTGGTTTAAAATGCAACAAAACATGTCATCATATTTATGGATGCACAGAAGGTATATTGTAGTTTTGTTACCATTTTTAAGCTGTCACGAGAACAGAAGAATACGAATATTTTCATGCATACCTTTGATTTTCATAGTTTACGATGTGCTTTGTGCCTTCAACATTCTTAATTATTTTCTTAAATACTTACATGTAAAAATATAACAGTGCTTAGTTATTTTCTGGAAGAAGTCAACGCTAGGTACACGCATTAAAAGACATGCACAGAAAACATGTTTAAAATTTATAATTGCATTTACTCATTCTATCAGATTACCGAATTCGTCGGGCGCTGTAGTAATCGTTTTTCTCTTCCATTTTTTTTATTTAAGGAGAAGAGGCAGGTCTTCAGGTTTTAAATGCATCGTCTTTGAATGCAATAAATTTGGTTGTCGTCTTGGGTGCATGCTCTGCTGCTATCATCATTTTTGCACTGACTGTCATTTTCATAAGGTAGAGAAAGTATATGAATTAAATATTACTCAAGGTCAATTCTTCCGATTCTGTATACATTATCTTGTTTTCCTAAATATATATAAGAGATAGTGATTAATCGTGTTTTTATATTCCTTTCGTTTTTTTAGGAAATGTCTTTTGATTTTCAAAAAAATTAATTAGATGTGTCTTTAATGTTATCTTCATTAAGGTTAAAGAAACAAGCAGGAATAAAACTCCTGAAAAAGATGGAAGTAACATTAAAAGAAACAAGCTCTACGATGGAACTTATACAGAGTAACTCATTGATAAAACGAATATCTTCATTCAAATCACTTAATGTTTTTATTGCTTTCCGATTTTTCCCCTTTACAGTTTTATATATGAGTTTTCATTTTATAAAGTAATTGTCGCATAGAAAACAAATTATTCAAATTAGTTCACAAATCATTTGAAATATAATAGCATCTGATAGAATTTGTTATGTAATGATTTTTTTTAGAAGAAAAAAGCAACATACAAGCACCAAATAATCAGAACCGAGTGGATGATGTACATCACACAGCTAAAAAGGGCCGTCCAACAAACAAAATTATACCCGTGAGGAATTTAAATACATTTATAACCAAGATGTCTGCTGCTGAGAATGCTGGATTTAAGCATGAATATCATGTACGACAATATAGGTGTACTTAAAATAAGATATATTATATAAGTGATGTCATAAAAATTTATATAATGAGACAATTAAAATTATGATAATAAAATCTATAGATATTTAAAAATTTTGATAATTAGTCAATTTCTATGCCTCGTCAAATATCAGGGCATGTCTTTTATATAGAAAGATAATATAAACAATTCATGATTTTTTACTATTTCATTGATTTTTTAAATAAATACTTTTGCGTAATGTTTGCGATTTTTTTTTTATAAATCGACAGGAAATTCCAAGAGGCGAACTTTTTCCATGCGAGGAAGCAAAGAAACCTGAAAACAAACCCAAAAATAGATACACAACAACTTTTCCATGTGAGTAATCCATTTAATGTCACCCTAATTTCTATAAATGTATAGGATATTTATTTAAGGCTTTCTGTCCACCTATCCATCTGTCTGTCTAGCCGTATTTCTGGTTGACTACAACACTTTCCTTTCCACGCGAAATCTCGAGAAGTCTATTAGGTTTTGTAATGAATATTACATTAAAAAACCCAATGGCCTAAAAAATCCTTTTGCTATTGAGGTCAAGAGATCAAGTAAGAATTCATAATTTAAAACATATTTAATGCGATATTTTGAGAATCCTTTGGGAGTTTGCGTGTTTGATGCCTATATACATGCATTTCCTTTGACCCAAGGAAGACCTCAAAAAAGAAATCAAGAAAGTAAATTCAATCTTGTCTGTGTATCAAAATAAAAAATTTTCGTGCGATATATCAAGAAGGATTTGAGCTTTGCAATGAAATATACCATACCTCCTTCTTGCCATATCCACCTCTCTTTTATCGCCGACGACTCCCAATCCAGATCTGTGCATCCTCTTCTTTTTCGTTAAGCATGTTGACAGAGATTCTCCGAATTAGTTTTTTAACTGAAATCTGCCATATTAAGAAGTTTAAATATATTTATTTTAAACAGACGACCATTCCCGGGTTGTTTTAAGAACTGACGCCTCGCAAGACGGAGACTACATCAATGCAAATTATATCGAGGTAAGAGAATGTATATATAATTTCATCCGCAAAGATATTTTACACTCTATGCAGAATATTAATTTATATCCAATAAGAAATATTTTTTTTTGTTTTTTATTTTTGTATAAGGCAAGTAACACATAGTTAAACTAAACAAGAACTATACATTTAAATAAGAAAAATGCATGTTATATTACATCAGTAAGTTTAATTGTGGTAGAATTAAAAATTCTTTCATGCTTTTTTCAACAAAAAAAGTTCAAAAAGCATGTAAAATTGAGTAAAAATGTATTAGCAATCAGCCCCTTCAATGTAACTGTGGTACTTCTTTTCTCCAAGCAAATGAATAATGTTTGGCGAATATTTTGTTGACAGAAACATGTAAATAAATGACGTTTTTTAACAATTGCTTTTACGTCATATTTCACCAAGTATGTAATTTTTCCCTGCAAAAGAGCAGTACCACAGTTGTCGTGAAAGGTTCTAATAACGGTTTGACAAATATGTTTAAATATGTTATTTTTCTGTCTCTTTTTCCTTTTCTAATACATTTATTAATTGTAAAGCAGTAAGGGATTTCATTTTTACTTCCTTAAATCCATTTACATGTACTAAGAGATAACATTACATTTAAGAAGACCATGATATACATGTAACTTCCTTGTAATAAATATTTCTCTTTAATGACAAATTTCCTTATGCCTATTATGCTCAAGGTGAACATTCAAAGTTATTTGTCGACAAAGTATATGTTGACGTCCCTATGTGAATAAAATATTCTTTATATGTACGTCAAACTACATACATCAATTAAAAGTAAATTTTACTATACACCATTACTTGCTATTATTACAGTGTTGAATATTGTGTATATTGCATCAACCCAGTAGTTATATTTTAACATGTAAATCATGATACGCATGTTATTTTTTTATTTACTTAAATTGACCTTATTTTTTGAAAATAGAATGCTATTGGTCAACGATCCTACATTGCAACTCAAGGTATGTCAGAAAAGATGTAATGGATTAGGTTCTTACAGAGATAAAAAAAGTTATATTAAATTCCTTTTTGTTTGTTTCTATTTATATTATCACATCAGTTTTAATGTTTAATATTATGTAACTTATCCGATCGTTTATCAAATCTGTTTAATTATAAAATATTATAAAACTGTAGGTCCGAAACCAAAGACAATCGGTGACTTCTGGAAGATGGTGTGGCAGGAGGACGTATTCGTCATTGTCTGTTTGACGAACCTTAAAGAAGGGGGAAAGGTTTATATCAATGGACAATTTAGATTTTTAAAAAGGTTTTTGGAAGATAAACAAAGATCACTGACGCTACATATCTTAATCAAAGTTGAAGTATTAAAAAACTCACAATTTTTTTAACGACGTTAGTTTTTGTTTCACTGACATAAATGCCTAGATTTGGTAGCATATGTTCGTAAATTAAAAATTCGAGTACGCATGTGCATGACAAAAATCATTTAGTACATAATTCATATAATTGTAAATTTACAAAATTCATAAATCTTTCTAATTACTATTTCCGAATACCAAAGTATGTAATTTGGTCAGATTGGTTCTGTTGCAATAAACGACATTAATTTCTTTTGTTTCATTGACATAAATACATGTAATTAGATTTTTAAGTATCTACTCTTACGAAAAACATTAATATACGTATAACATTGAAGGAAGCATAATCTTTAAGAAAGCAAACTTATGATTGATATCCTAAATATTGCTCACTTTGACAAATTCCGAGTAATCAGGGGAAAGGTTTGGGAAAGAGAAAATGTAGATGGTTTGGGATTGTGGCAAACATATTTCACAAGAATTTGTTCATGTTGTTGATGTGTTAACGTTAATAAAATTAGTGATGACACAGCAGAGAGTTGGTAGTGGTGTTTTCAGTAAATGTTTCAGTTTAAGAGGAAACAGAAATATTTCTTGAACGACGGAAAATGTGATCCGGTCTTTAGCAACTGATAATAATTGCATGATGCGGTTGTACATGTATGTAGATGAATCTTAACAACATTTTGTTGTATATTATTTCAATATCTAATATTATATGTATAATATTTCAGCCTGTTCCAACATTATATTTTTTATCGACTTGAATTTATTTATTTTTCAGAATAAATGTGCTCAATATTGGCCAGCTATATACGATAAAATCCAAACAGGATACATCACCATAAGAAACCTGGAAGAGAGAATATATGCGAATTATACAATACGGCGATTTAAAGCACAAAGCAATTTGGTAATGAAATGATTATTGACATATACACGAAATCTATTTATAAAAATAGTATTGACGTATATAAAACATTGCCTTCCATTAAAAAACTATCTCAAGTTTACAATTATATTTTAATAAGTGGCATTTTAAGGATACCGTTTGTTGCTGGAAAAAACAATATTTTATAAACAGAAATTTGAAAAAAAAACTTACCCCTCTGTTTTGAAATTGCTTTTTTTATATTTACCTTAGGGGTGAATGCCCTCGCTATTGCGATGAAACATCTTTGAAATACTGCTTACTAATTATAAACATGCTACCTTTGGTTATATGAATGCAAATCCTAATTTACTTTTCATCTTTTTTTCTAACTTTGGATAGTAGTTCCCACAAATCACTTGAAAAAAAAGGATATCACATCAGCAATAATAAAGTTAAATGAAAAATTAATGTTTGCAGAGTCACACACCTTTTATATAATCCCGATTCACCGTAGAAATCCAAGTACGCATGTGCATGACAATAATCATTTACATAATCAAAGAATTGTAAAATAAACAAAATTTATAAATATTTCTTATTACTTTTTTTGAATACCAATGTCTGTAATTTGGTCAGATTTGTTTTTTTTGTATTAAAAAAAAGAACCATAACAATGGTTTAATCTTTTCTTGAATTCAGTATGGAGGCCTGTAAAGAACAGTATCTTTGGAATGTATTTGTTTTGATAAACCCCCTATGATTATATTATTTTCTAATAAAATATAATCAAGAATAAAATGATTGTTTTAAGCTTCAATGTGCAAAATGTACTAACAAAAAAAAAAAATAAATAAAAATCGGGGTTTCGTAAGATATGTATATGTATGGTATGTTTACCAGCTAAATTTTGAAGAAGAGTGGTTATTTAATAATAATGCAACTGATCATATTTAATTTGTTATAAAACATATATTAATTTCCGATTTGTAAAATATAAAGATTTTCTGCAATTAACAATAGTTTAAAAGGAAATTCTTAGTAATTGTAAACATAATAAGATGAAAAAGCGACGTTTGATCACGTTACAACGCAGAATATACTGTAATGGACGCCTTTAGCATTTTGAATGATTACTCTACATACATTCATAATTCAATACAAAACTGTGTGCTTAGTTCCTCACCTTCTAACTTCTCAGGTAGAAGAGATGACGTTGCATCAGAAAATGACGTCATCAATCACAAAACGAATAAAGTGCACTCTTTGTTATTTTGAAAATATATATCCATTTAACTTGCCAATATTTAACAAATCTTTTTGTGGTCTTTCTAAAATTAGAAAAATCTAAAATTTGAATACGATTTAAATTTTGGGATAAAAGCTAAACACATAAAACATTACACTTATATTAAATCCACAGTTTTTCGTTTTAAAACTGGTTCTTTTTAATATCATATTTCATACAAAATATTGATAAAGGAATTATATTACAATTGGTTTAACAATACTAGATGTACTAAAAAGAAGATTATTTACATTTATTCTGCAAAAAAAAAAAAAAAAAAAAAAAAAAAAAAAAAAAAAAAAATCCTACATGACCATGTCTTGTATATGTTAAGAAAGATTTAACCCCGATTTATTATTTATTTTTATTTTTTGGTCGTCATCGCAAAATTGCGAATTTAAGAGTGAATGTATGAAAAAATGTATTTGACAAATTCAATTTTTTTCTATTTATTAAGCACAACTAACATGTAACAACATACATAATTTTACATATAACATAAAAGTAATCATAATTTCCCATTTTCAGCAGGAGCATTTCAGGGGAACAGACACAATTTTCTGCTATACAAAATGATCAAATAAAGTATGGTTGATGATAACATTCATTTATCTCTGTAAAGTTTTAGCTTCAGTACCTTTGTTTTTTATAACAAATCGTTTAATTTTAGAGTTCTTTACCGACTCGGTTTAGGAGTCGCGCAGTAATTAACGTTATTGGTAATAAATTAGACAATATATGATTGAGTTGAAAACATTTTTTTCTAATTTTAAATACAAAAAACTTGTCTTTTAAAACTTGATTTTAAATGTCAACGAAAGTATCCTCATTATAGTTTCTCTTATCTATTGTTTATAGGAGCGAAAAGATCGTGAGATACTGATGTTCCATTACACAAGATGGCCAGACCACGGAGTTCCTGATCCTCTAAATCTTGTTGTATTTCATCGCCAGGTGTTGAAAAAAGCCCTGCTAAACAAAGGAAAATACACATTAGTACATTGCAGGTTTCATAAAGTTATTTAATTTATTTAATTCTTTCTCATTCACTCAGTCTATTTTAACGTCCATCTAACTTGCTGGGAATCTATTTTTACGTAATCTATTTTCTTATAAAGATTATAACCATTAAAAGAATTATAGGACACTTTGTTCTACTGCATAATGTTTAAGTATACAATCAGATTAACACCAATTTTTATCAGTTTAATACATTTTATAATGAAAGTAAATGAATCCAAAGACATTGTGAACAATGCATATGCAGACATCCAAAATAATAATATTAAAAAGAAAACTGTCCATATTTTTAAAATTTGATTTAGTGTTGATTTTAAATCCCATTTTGTCTCAAATCTGACCTATTAAACATATGACAAAAAAGAAGCACAAAAGCCTGTAATTTTGTCTGAAATTAAACCTGATAAATGAAGAAGTAAAAATGATCAAAATGATAAAAATAATAAAATATATAACTTCTGCAAAAATTTAACAGTGCTGGAATCGGGAGAACTGGAACTTACATAGCTTTGGACGCCCTCTACCGGGAAGGGGAGAGAAATGGTAAAATTAATGTTCCGATGTACGTCAGGACCATGAGAAAAGACAGAATGAACATGATACAAGGCGATGTAAGATTTGCATTTTTTATATCTGTATTTATGTTTTTTGGAATATTCCAGAATCACAGCTTTATTCTTTATGGTCGTCAAAATATAAGTAGAGCAAATAAGCATAACATATTTCTATTACATGTAACATTACTTGTTGTACATCTAGAAAGGGTTTAAGCATTAGTATTTCAAGTGATATTAACAAGGAATAAGGCTTTATCCGTCATCTTCGCAGGGATATAGGATCAGATTGGGAAAATACTAACACTCTAGCAGTCGATTTAGAAAGCCTAAAACTTCCGTTGTAAACAAAGAAGTCGCTGAAAGAGACACATTAACTTCCAATCCAAATTCATGTTATCCGCATATTTCCTTATTTATTTTGTTTATCACGGAACAAAGTTGGGGCTTCATATTTAATCAGCAAATAGTTATTTTTTTTCAGCAGTTGAATACAAAGGATAACATTTCCTTTTAAGTGACCTTCTGTAAGAGGTGACGCTTGTCACTGGTCCTGAAATGTTTCCCTAACTTTACAACAAAAACAATCCTTCTTGGTGTGTTTCCTCAAGGGAGATCTTATCTTGATTTAAGACAACCCCCAACCCTCCCCATTATTTTCGAATTTTGTTATCGATTCACTATTTTAAGTAAAACAATAACTCATTTCCCTATACATTAAAGAAAAGAAATATTTGTAAATGCCCTTAATATCAATTCTCTATAAAAATCAAAATGACGTGGCCACGCAATGTCTTAGATTCAGCTAATTTTTTTCTCACTGAAACTTCAATGAATGAAAAGATTGACTATGTGAAAGAAAGCATGGTAGATTACCCGGTTGCCATGGAAACGGGACTAAAAGGTGTAAATTATAGTGAATATTGCTATTTATCAATAATATCAAAAAAAAAATTTACTAGGCAAAGCTGTTAATGTGCATATTTTTTTATATGCTTCATGACAATCAAAACTATGTAAAAAATAGTGTATGTCACAAAGTTTTTACAATTTCTAATTTTCTGATGCCAAAAAAGTGAATAATTAGTCCTCGTAACCTCCCTTGTTAGACTTAATATTTAAAGACTTTGACAAGTGATGTGAAAATCCTAGTAGGGAGATTTAGATTCAAGAAATGTTATTTTGCAAATATCATTTAAAACATTTATGGGTAAATGAAAAATAAACATTTTATTACACTATAAAGTTGGTCTAAATGTGCTTTTTCTCTATCCGAGTTATTTCCCTTGTTGGAGCTCTTCGGCATTGAAGAATACAAAATGTGTAAAATGTAAACAAGATGGCAGACAATAAAATCTGCATTTTTTCTTCTTGTTTTGAAACATCTTGTTCAGGGAAATTCTACCTCAAGAGACTCAGAATTTGATGAAAAACAGTTAACAAAGTAGGGATAATATTTAAGAAAAGCCGAAGGGTTGATCTGGACATGATGAGTATTACACGTATAGCTACTCGTAGAAAGGAAAATATGAAGAAATCCGGGTGGTATGGGACGAAGGCTGAGAGGATTTTAACTGTTTCCTTCAAAATGTCTACTGTTCCCTTCAAGATGTCTTTGAAATAGAGATCGAGAGATACATGTAGTGGTGTGGTAGTCCTCGACCAATCCCCATTGTAATGTGTAAGTATTTTTATAATTCTATTCTGTTGTCTCATGTACCTGGTATTTAAACTGACTATATATTAAAATATAAGACAATAAAAACAAACAAAACCATGAAAACTTGGATGCACAGTTGCATATATTACATGTACATGACATTGAATCATATACTACTGTGAAATATACATGTATGTGCCCGTTTTGGGTACCGGTATTTTATTTTCTATAAAATTCAGTATATTTGAAGAAAATTGTTTGTATAAATTTATTTTTCTAAGTGATAATATGTTTGTGTCCATTCTATCTTAACATTAAACAGGATTTGTAGAAATCATACCACGGAAATATTAAACCTTTGACTTTTGACAATGATAACTGAATAGTGGGTTAGATTTTTTGAAATTTTAAGCAATATCAGGACCATAGAATATTTGAAAGAATTGATAAGAAAAAGTGTAAGTGTAAAATTATGAAAATTAACTCAGTACATGCAGACACACAGATATACAGCTGCTAATAGTGTTCTAGATCTAAGTACATATACTTTGTCATACTATGTGAAATCTTTTTTGGGACCTTGATACAATTAAGTTATTTGCTCTGCAAGGTAATGTATTGTTAAATAGGTAAAGAAATCTATTCAAGAGTGTTAGAATTTGACAACTCCATTTCATTTGTACTTGGAGTTCTATAAATAGTTAATTGTCATGAAGCACTCTTTATTGACTTTTCTAAGATGCAGCTTTCTGTCTCATAATTTTATTTTACTGTCAGAGCACTGTTTTTCAGCTATATATTGCAGGCATATCAATCTTGCACACATTTATGAATAGTTTTAGTTTAACAGTATTGATCTGTACAGATGAGATCATTCTGATGCTGTGTACTTTGCATGTCAAGGACATATTGTACAAATTAAAAATAGTTGCATTAAAAGTACAAAATAAATTATACCACATGACATGTAGTGTCCATAAAACATGTATGTTTATATTACAATTAATTCATGATATAATAACATTTCATTTACCACTTTAAAAATTAATTGTTGTCAAATTCATTTCTACTCTAGATCTCCCACAATTTGTCTAAACTGCAGAAAAGCTTTAACTGTGTAAATTGAAAAAAAATGCTTGATCACAACATTGAATCCCCTCCTTTAACAATCATTCCTCATGATTCAGAAAATTTTCAGGATAACATTTAAATATCAGGTACATGTAATTTATATTTGATGTTTAGGATTTTAACCCATACTTTCAAATTAAAAATAATTTAAATTTTCAGATCATTGCAGCCCTTGCAAGATTTCCTAATGAAGACTCTTAGGATTACAGATCCTCTAGCAAGGAGACCAGAAAGGTACATGTATTGTGTATTAAGTTACATGGATTCATGGTGATTTAAGACATGAGTGCCATGACAATGCATAAAGGGAGATAATAATGTTTAGAGGTTGAAAATGTATATGTTTTATGTATAGCAAAATTTTAAGATTCCAGTTTTAAGTTTTTAAAATAATTTTTAATGAATTTTTATCCAAACTGACCAAAAATTAATGGTATATTTTTTTTTATTTTCATGTGAACAGATAGAAATGACCAGAGCAGAGGACACACAGCCCCCCCCCCCCCCCAAAAAAAAAAAAAAATGGACAGGAAGTAATTTTCACATGAAAAATAGAAAGTAGGAATAAGAACAGAAAGAAAAGAAGATCCAGTAAAAGTTGTCACTGGTGCAAGATGGATATAGAGAGGGCTTTCTACACTACTGGACGAAAAAAGTGCTGAGAATCCCAAATTTTACTGATAATGTTTGATAATTACTGATACGGTGCTGTTCTTGCTGATAATTACTGATATTTACAGTTATTATTACTGTTGTTGCTGATAATTTTAGTTGTTGCTGATAAATACTGATAATTACTGTCGTCTTTTACTGTGGAGTCTGATAAATACTGATAAATACTGTTGAGGTACTGTCGCTGCTGAGAATTGCTGATAATTACTGTTGAGGTACTGTCGATGCTGAGATTTACTGATAATTACTGTGGTCATTGTTTTTAACCTGGGAATGGATTAAAAAAGCCTGTAATGATTATTTGTTGTTTTTTTTAAAGGTATTTTAACAAATTCATTACAGTCAATTACAAAATAAGTCATTCTAAATAAAAAAAAGTCACATTTTATTAATTTGTATTCAGATTTCATCTATTAATTTCATTATAATTATTTTTAGACCATAATGTTAACATAAGCTTTCATAAATGTTTATGTTTTTTCTTTAAATTTCTCCTTATACGTAGATGACATTATCTGAGGAAGATTATTCTGTTTTTAGAGTGGTTTTTCTTCCCAAGTACTTTTTTAAAAAGTTTAATTTTTGTTCATAAAGGTTAAAAAAAAATCTCATCTCATATTTTTTCTCACATGTATGTGTACTGTCATCAAAAGCTTTTTGTGGGTATCTTTAATACTTCAACACAGTCAATGGTTGTAAATATCAATTTATTTTACCGTGTGGAGAACTGAAAATGCATGAGCACATTAAGTTGAAAACACCCCCCCCCCCCCTTTTTCCAATAACTTTTAAATTAAGCTCTCATTTTAACAAGACAGTATTAAATATTTTTCATAAAATCTAGTCTTGAAGCGTACACTTTGTTATTTTATAGAAGAATGTGCCAGGGTTAAATAATTAAATTGAAGCATCTATAATCATTTTTTTAATATATATTATGTAGACAGCGCGCTCTAGTTCTCCGATGTCCTCCCTGCGAATTTTATATCGTGTCGCTTTCTACCTCTCTCTCTCTCTCTCTCTCTCTCTCTCTCTCTCTCTCTCTCTTTTAAATTATTTGTTAAGGCTTAAGTATTGTACACTACATGACATAAATCTTACGCAGTGTGATTTTCAGTCAATGAAATATACGTCTTTCTTTAGGCTAATTATTTTTTTCATTGTATGTACAGTTTTAAGTCTATGTGCATATGGCTTCTAATATTATGCGCCACTCCTTAAACATGTTATATGCGGTCAGTCAGTTAAAAAACTAAATAGAATACATCATAACTTGAATTAACTTTTTCCATTAATGCAAACTTTGTGCTTGTTGTTATTGAATATACATGTTAACCACGTGTAAAAGTTCTACTTTCGTTTTAGAATCGGGTCAATTATTAGTACATTCTGCCATAGGGATATTGTCACGGCTTGAGTTTTTGTAAAATTAGAATTTTGTGCAGTGATTATAATTTTTTTTTAATTCCATTTTTGTCCGAGACCTTTGTATAAAAGAACAGTACAGACTTGATGTTTATTTATATGATTTTACTTGATTGTAGCACAAAAAGGAGGGGGTGAAATACTGCTAATACAATTAAGTGATAGCCGA